TTGATGAATTTGACTATTCACTGAACAAAATGTCCATAACACCCAAGAATTCCCTGAATTACACGTTCGAAGGTCAACTACAGCGACGTATGCAGATGCCCTCTAGAATTAGACCCTCCACAAGTCCCGAGTCCTTGTGATTTTCTGAGGCTCTTTACTTTTTTCTGGAAGAGAAGGAAAATTGGAATGCTTATTGACATGGGGAAACACCCAATCTGCCAATTTTTGTCCCCGTCTCAGCAGTGTGGTACGGGTTTGGGCTCATAGTTTATTCAAGTTTCTTCAGTGAGGAGTGAAGAAGTATGGGATATGGTTTCTCTCCTGCCGAAGGGGTGGTATTGTAATCTTGTGATGTATTTTACTACTTGAGCAATCCCATTGTAATATTTATCAAAATATTGGCTATCTAGCAGAGATGGTTTTCTAATACGGTCAATGGTTGCTTTTATGAATAGCTTGATGAAAAGTCCTTAGGTGCTCACTTTCTTGACAAAGTGAGCTTTGTTTTTGATGACTTATTCTTTGATTTCTTTCTATGGGTTTCTACTGGTTGTTAAGAAAAGGATGACAGAAAACATTATGGAACTTGAAAGCTTAGAGCTGATTTTTCATATACTTTTCGTTATAGTTGCTAAGCGTTATTCCATATACTCTTCGTTAGTAGATCTGATATTTCAGTTATTAAAGATAAATCAGTTTGTTTTGACAAAGTTCCTCAATTTTTTGAGGAAATTAAGTAAAAGCTCCCTGTCCCTCAAATTTCTATGTTTTCTTATAGATCCATGGCTCAAGTATGTAAAAGTAGATGGGCTTCCCTTTTACTAGCTTTCTTACATTTTCCTTTAACCCCATTCGACCACCCGAACCCCGTTTGCATTGCATGGTACTAAAAAACAAAGTTTTTTAAAGCAAGTTTGTTTAGTCTATCCATGAATACCAACTGCCAAATGTTAGAAACGTAGTGCAGTCCTTACTTGGAGTACATATTCGCCGCCACCTCCAAATTTTAATGTATGGTTGTTTGATATCCATTTTATTTTTTTTTGTTTTTTGTAGTGGGAAGCTGTTTCGAAAAAAAATTTTGGTAACAAGTCCACCTTTTTTTTGATAAAAAGTTACAGGTGGTGAATCTACAAATACTTACCGATCCCCTCCAAGTTTAAAGGCTCTTACAAACCCAACATAATAATTTTTTCTTTGATTTTTCTTATTTTTTGGAGGAAATTTATATTATTGGTTTGTAGTTTTTGGTCTTTTTTTTCATGACGAATTTTGCATTTGTATGTTCATCAAACTAAGTTGTACTTCTCTGTATGTCTTTTTCATTTCAAACTTAATTTTTTTTGTTAGATGATTCTCATGTCTTTATCAAATCACATTACTCTTTGAACTGGGTTTGTGTGATCTGATAAGCTTGAAGGGCTAGCAAATAATGCTTCTCATACTCTTTTCCAAATTCTCTTCATCTACATGTGCGACAACTACTACTACAGGATCATAGACAGATTAAATCTTTGCGCTCTAAGTTTAAAGTCCTCAACTAGATGCTTTATGATGCCACATGCAGATATGCAAATCAGGTTTCCATATGGGATCAATCCAGATTTCTACTTCACTATGCTTCATGATCAAAATAACAAAAACAGTCCAATTAAACAGTCCAGAATTCATGCTCATTCTAGTATGAGGGCTAAAGACACTCAAGATATTAAGAATAAAGCAGGCACCTGTTCTCTACCTCATGATCTACTTGGCTTTTTGTATTATTGGAGCAGGATCTTGACAAGTTTTGTGGGCTCTGTTTTCTCTACTGCCTCTTCTAGAATTTCCTTAATCTCTAATTTGGCTTGGTTCTTCATGGCTTTTATAATTTATGGGGTGCTTTGCTCTCTAATGGTTGGCATTCTTTTCCAGTTCTCCTTAGTCTCTCTAGGGAGGTCTCTCTTATGCTGCATTCAAATGATCTTAGTTATTGAAAGAAGAGAAAACTCATTATCGAAGTTATTTTACAAGCAAAGAAATTTCAGAGAAACAAATAAGGTTACTTATCTTTTCATCTGTTTGGATCTCTCAGTTTTCATTAGTCTTCTCTATTCAAGATGGACAGGTTATGGAAGGAACCTGTTCTTCATTCTGGTATTTTGGGGTTGTTCTCTGCCTCTTCTTCATGGTGGTTTTTCTTTTATATACCTTCTTCATCTAAAGTGTCAAAGTTTTTGGAAGACTTTTCTCTGCTGCGTAGCTGGATATTCATCTTCTGCCTATTCTCTACAAGGAGTCGGGTTCTTCATCTTAGGTTTGGATCTGGCCTTCAATGATTGTCCATCTCTCATTTGGTTTACATGGCTTCTGTTTCTCTGCTGTTGTATTGTCTTCAATGGAGGGACATCAGAAAATTTACTGAAGTTTTTTGGAAGCCTGTTCTTCCAAGTTTTCATGGTTCAGAGTTTCATTGCAATAGAATTCTCGATTTGCCCTTTCAATTTCGTTATCAAGTGTCTGATCAGATGCATTATCAGACTCATAGCAGATCACTTTCGCCTATTAGCTGCCCCTTATCAGTCTGTGTTTTGCATTTAATCAAATTATTTTACCTTAGCTTATCACTAATCAGGTTATGATTGGATTCAGCTTAAAGTTCTCACCTGTTGCTACTCTAAGCTCACACTTTCAACTGCTACAGTTCTCAGTTTATTCACTCAGCTTCAGAGATTGCAAAGGCTCTTAAATGTTAGAGTAGATTCAGATCATCCTTTAGCTTGGTCTATCTCCCAGCTTCAGTTCGCAGCTCACATTTCCTGCTCTGTTATGTTCGGCTGCTTCATTATTCCAGCAAGTATTTTGATACACCAGCTGACACATTTAGGCTTTAGGTAAGATACATAAGTCTCCCATGACTAGGTGTAATTTATTTTTGAATTAATAAAATCTCCCTCGCATCGTCGATGTTCCATTAAAAAAAAAGTGCCAAAAGCGTAATGACTTCAACTAATCTTTAATGTTTGGCATGATATCATGGTTGTAGTTTTAGTTATTATAACGTTAGATTGGATGATAATTAGATTTGTGAGAATGGATGAGTGAAAATTGAATTAGTAGTGTTTATGACACTCTAAGTGAGTTTGTTTGGATCGGAAGACTTTGTTTGGTATGGTTTGAGAATCAGTGTGGTTTGCAATGAATGAAATCATATAACTTTCATGTATGTGTGATGATTTTAATTATCATGATTTTCTTGGTCAATTAGTGAAATTTGTGTTTAGCCAATATAAATACTGATATGTTGTGATGGTAGTTGGTAATTACTATAATGTTGTTGTGGTAGTTGGTATGATTATGAAATTTTGTAGGTAGGTTGATATAGTTGTAATATCATATTTTTATATAATATTTTGTTGAAACTTTTAAAATTTTCTTCACTGATTTCAATTTTTTTTTAATGTGAAGCAAAAAAAAGCTTGGTATGTACTTTTGGCTCGATAAATGTCAAGTGTGCGTGAATTAAAGGAAGCAATTTTGACTTTTAATTTAGTTCGTATTCAAGTTCAGTGATCTATTATTTTGTGCTCAAATTTAATATTTGATTATTCTTTAATTACACCGTGCGTTATTTCTATTATATATATATACTCCAAGCCCTAAACGTCTCATTCATTCGGTACTCCACGACTGCCTTTGCCGACCGCCGACTGCCCACTGCCCACTGCCCACTGCCCACTGCCGACTGCCGCCCACTGCATCTCTCTCTCTCTCCCCATTCTTGCATATATATATACTCCAAGCCCTAAACCTCTCATTCATTCGGTACTCCACGACTGCCTTTGCCTTTGCCGACTGCCGACTGCCGACTGCCGACTGCCGACTGCCGACTGCCGCCCACTGCATCTCTCTCTCTCTCCCCATTCTTGCCCGATAATTTTCAGAGACAAAGGAAGAACTGAAACAAATCGATAGAATTTAAACGCCGCCAAGAAGACGCCGTCGGCCCCTGTCTTCTCTCTCTCTCTCGCTGATGCTGAGTCGCTGACCAGGTAACTCCTAAGCGTTCTCTCTCTCTCTCTCAGTGCTCCAAGATATTTATTAATAAATTATTAAAGGAACTAAAACTAAACCATAGTTAAGATGGGCCAAACCACAAGTCTAAAGCGAAAACCTAACCATAGTTAAGTTGTTAGAGTTAGGGTTTCCAAGTGAAGTTAAACGCATTAGTTTCAATCAGGTTTCGTTGGCGGCAACACAGTACAACAGAAAAACGAGACAGAGACAGAGAGAGTCAACCGCTTTCGTCTTTTAGGGTTCTCATTGCAAAGAGAAAGGAGGGCAGACTCTCTCTCCTGTGTTCTCACAGATCGCCGCTCATTCTGTTTCCAGCTCTACCTTGCTTGTAAGCTCACTTATACACACACGCACGTATATATGTACTTAGAGAATTAAATTATTGGGTATGAGAAGGAATTGTTTTGTTTTGTTTTTTCATACTTTATACAGATATATGGAACTTTGTTTGATTTGCTGGATCATATATTTGGAATGAAATTTCCATATGGGTAAATTGTTTTTTGCCAGATTGATTATCTCAATTTTCTTCAGTATGCTTGGAAGTTTTATTACTTTTATACTTATTCTAATACATGGCAACACTAATTAGAACCGGGGAATTCTAAAGTTTGAGTACACTGGCATGTTCATGTGGTTTTCCCAACTGTGTAGGTTTAAATTACAAAAAAACTACCTAGAGTTTGTGAGTACACTGGCATGTTCATGTGGTTTTCCCAACTGTGTAGGTTTAAATTACAAAAAACTACCTGGAGTTTGAGTAAACTGGCATGTTCATGTGGTTTTCCCAACTGTGTAGGTTTAAATTACAAAAAAACTACCTGGAGTTTGAGTACACTGGCATGTTCATGTGGGTTTCCCAACTGTGTAGGTTTAAATTACAAAAAAAACTTAGTTAGAGAGCCTTGCCGGGGATTGCACTATCATTAGCTATCTCGGAGATAATGGGAGTGCAATTAGCAGCAGAGCAGGCAGGGTTCGTTGAAATGGAGAATGTTATTTTCACAGATTCAGAGTTGGTGCATCATGTAAGGGACGCCCTCAGAGCTGCCCTCTTGGTAAGCATTCTGAAATGCACTCAAAGTTTTCTTCTTCAACATGGCTTTACTTTACCTATCAAGCAGAAAAAGAATATGTGGCCTTACTTTATCAATTATACCTTGATGAAGTGTGTTATACCAATTGCAGCAAACTTTTATCAGTTATCAGTATTTATATATAGCCAAGTGTCGGGGTTTCAAGAAAAAATGGGTGCTTCATGTTTTCTGTTCCGGATGACTTTGTTCATTTGTACAATCTAATGACCTATTGAGATTGATCATGTTAAGATCTGACATGATAAAATTGTTTTGGAGGTTAGGTTGCTAATTTTAATACAGGCATGATTTTGGTATGATAAGTCTGGGTGATATTTCTATGCCTCCTTTTTTATTTAGTTTATGTTGTAGAACTCTGGAAGCTTGAAGCTTTTGATGTTGGCTGTTATTTCCATCTATTTGACACTTATGTCGTTATCACCATTATTATTTCCCTTTGCAAATTGCTATGATTTTTATAAAGAGGACAGGCATGGATGACTTTTTATAATATTGGCCCTCTTCTATCATCTAATTGTTGGATGATGATGCATAGCTTCATGCCTATCAACTTGGCATAGCATCCAGAATTTATGGTGAGGTTTTGATCAATGATTTGATAATGAAATTATTACTTCCTCAGGGAGACACTGACAATTATAACCAGCTAGTTGGCGTGTTGCACCACAGTGAACGCCTAGCTCCCGATGAGGTGGCCCTTCTTGTGGTATGTTGTACATGAAGATAAACTAATATTTTGAGATAGTAGATGCTTTCCACAATTGCTTTTTAAATTGTTTCCCTTTTTTGTTTCTCCCATGCATTCCAGACTAGTTTAAAGGCTATAACTGGAGCAGTTTCATACGTTGATGTTGTGCACCATCACTCTCTTCTTTCTTGTGTAAGATATTGGTACACGTATTGATGGTTTGGTCACAATTTTTGTGTATCATTGTTGACCTTGATTATCATAAATTGCTAATATGAGAGTGGTTTCCAGATATGTGGAATGAGTTTGTGGAACTATGGGCCTGACGTGATGGATGCATTGGTTGAATTAATGACATCCTTGGTACGTGCGTGATATGCATTGCCTGCTAGGTTGTTTTGTTGAACTCTGGCAGGCCCTTATGATAATTTCATGGTTTCTTGCATTTGCAGGCTGCATCCAGTGGGAAATATGTTGATTTATGCTTGGATATGCTCGTAAGCAATTTTATGCCTCCTTATTCTTTCCTAGAATCGCTGAAGGAGCCTCGTGGTATTGCAAGAAAGGATCAAGTTCTTGATCGTGTGCATTTAGCACTGAAAGACATTGCTGATTTATTGCCTCTTATCCCTTGGAGATTGGAGAAAATAATCATTGATAGAATGCCAAATATATATACAAAAGAACCTGTGAGTCCAAATAACACCTCTCAACTTGGAATTTAAGCTTTCCTTGAATTATCCAAATATTTTTTGAGTAGATACATACATGAGATTCGTGGGGCATACTGTTTAATAAGTGAATATTTGCAAAGGCATGGAAGCAAAGTTTATTATTGTAAGTTCATTATCTTACCATTTTGATGGTTAGTATAGTACACCCAAAGTGGTTTGGGCTCTAGCAAGTGTTTCTTCAGTTAAATCAAAACATCCACTTGTGCACTAGGCATGGCCTTTTAGCCTTTTTATGTGCACCTATTTTAGTTTTGTACTAGTTACAGTAATGGCACCTGCAAAATGTGGGTTAGGAACCCCAGGCAATGTTGTGGGCCTTTGCATCGATGCAGTAGTTTTTATCATTTCTTGTCCAGCAAATCATGAGTCGCTGTAACCTTGTTTTCTAATGCAGTTTAAATTTTTTATTATTAATCCATGCAGTTGATCGTGATATATGTGGAGAACATGTTAAGGTTGGAGAGTGGTCCCATGGGAGAACTTGTTGGGAGCATGATGATTACTGCAGTGATGGATAGGCTGATAGATTTGGATGTGAGTTGTTCAAAATTGATTAGAAAAACGCTGGTCAAATGAAAGTTTGCACTTATTTAACAAAATGTTGTGATCGTCTCATAACAGGTGGAAATACCATGGGAGGAAATTTTACAGGATGATTCCAATAAAGGCATCTTTGAGATGGAGCTTGAAGATTTGGAAGTCTCTGCATATTATGCTGAGAATGACGGTGATGAGGTATTCTAATGCATCTATTAAATTTGTTTGTTATGATTTCTTTCCTGTTCCATCAAAAATATTTTACTCGACATTGTTGACTAATACAAGTTATTCAAATGCATGTTTGTTTTGTTTTATATATACATTAAATGGTGACCTTTTATGGATCACTTTTGTTTGTTGTTGGGTCCAACTAAACTCCGGGTTATACACAAGCCAAATTGAGTCACATAATACACTAGTCAAAGTGGATAGCAATGTGACAATCCTACTATTAACATTGAGCATGGTTGTGGTACAAAGTGATCTTGAAGGAATTTGAGATCCAATTGTGATTTGGATCAAGTAGCTTTCTTAGTTTTTTTTTTTTTTTTTTTGATTGAAGTAGCCTTTTTTTTCCTTTTTTGGTTCTATAGTTAAGGTATCTGGACCAATTTATGCGTACCTCAACTAATCCCTTCTACGGTTCGGTCAAAGGTAGACGATCCACGCTGAAATTAGGGTATTCATGAGGAATAAATATCTTATGGCCTAGCTCCAAGGGATTGCCAAGATTCTAATTTTGCAACTCGTCTTTGTTATCACTTGAGCTACCATTCGATCTATTATTAAACGCTACTCAAAGTAACTCAGTTCCAAAATAGAAATGAGCTTGACTTATATATCTCACATTTCGATTTCAAGGGTTTTCCATTGGACCCTAACTCACTAAGCTTGGGATCTTCTTGGTTGACAAATGTGACATTCTTCTTTTTCTCTTGCTGTGACCAACCTGTCAATGATGGTCGGATGGGAACATTATTTATGCGAAACTGCAATGATAGTAAGCATGACACTGTGTAAGAGATAAAATTTCCTACAAAAACATCTAATGAAATGATTATTATAAAGTTATGTAATGGACAGTTGAAAAGATGATAAATGGTTTTTGATTTATTCACAAAAAATAAATTCCAAAATACTACTAACAAATATATAGAACAATTGCAAGACATTAAAGTAATATCTATTAAATTGCATAATTTTTTGAGGTACTATAAACGTAAAATTGCCAATTGTAAAAACTATAATAAGAAAAATTTGAAGACCTTAAAACAGAAATGCTCATTGATCAATCTCATTGGTATATTTCAATAAATATAATAGTACTACCTGACGAGTGCTCTCCAAAAGAACTGTTGGAGATAAGATCTAACTAGTTATTAGCTCAATTAAATTAAATATGAATGATGAAAATGATATTTGAGTACAAACTATTATAGTATAGATATAGATGTACGATTTTGACTTTATACAATTGTTTGGGGTTATTTATGGTAATCAAAAATTTTCATCTAAGTTACTTTTATTAGTAGTATATGTTAAAGTTTGAAGAAGTCTAAGTTGAAAGCAAAACTGGGCAGTGGCAACAACCGGTGGTGCTTTGGAAAAGATACACTCGGCATAGCGCATGAAATACATTCGTCCTCTAATTGACACTATTATACTCCAGTTGTGTTCCTTGTAGTAATAAAAAGGAGAAAAGGTGGGAAGAAAAAAGGTAGTGAAAGAAGTAATACTTGTAGAATCCAAATCAAATTTCAACCGCTACGAAGCCAATATAGGGAATCTGAAAGTATAGTAAGTGAAATATCATTCTCTTTAGCTTAACGTTTACTTCTAGAATTTGTAGGGTCTAACTAGTTATTAGACGTCAATTCAATTAAATATGAAGGATGAAAATAATATTTGAGTACAAAGTATTATAGTATAGATATAGATGTACGATTTTGACTTTATACAATTGTTTGGGGATATTTATGGTAATAAAAAGTTTTTCATTTAAGTTACTTTTATTTAGTAGGATAGATTATCCAAAAGTCTGAGCAATTTTAAGTTGAAAGCAAAATTGGATAGTGGAAATGACTGGCGGTGCTTTGGAAAAGACACATTCAGCACAGTGGATGTAATACATTCGTCCTTTGATCGACACTATTATACTGCAGTTGTGTTCTTTATAGTGAGTAAAAAGGGAAAAGGTGGAAAGAAAAAAGGTAGTGAAAGAAGTAGTACTTGTAGAGTCCAAATCAAATTTCAACCACTACGAGGGAATCTGAAAGTATGGTAAGTGAAGCAACATTCACTTTAGCTTAACGTTTACTTCTAGAATTTGTAGGGTCCAACCAATTATTTGTGTAAAAACTATTATAGTATAGATATAGATGTACAATTTTGACTTTATACAATTGTGTTTGGGGGAGTATTTATGATAATCAAAAGTCTTTCATCCAAGTTACTTTTATTAATAGTATAGAATCATAGATTATCCAACGAATTCTAAGTTGAAAACAAAATTGGGCAGTTGCAACAATCGGTGGTGCTTTTGAAGAGACACATTCGCCATAGCGCATGGAATACATTCGTCCTCTGATCGACGCCATTATACTCTAGTTGTGTTCCTTCCAGTGATAAAAAAGGGAAAAGGTGGGAAGAAAAAAGTTAATAAAAGTAGTAGTACTTGTAGAGTCCAAATCAAATTTCAACCACTACGAAGCCAATAAAGGGAATCTAAAAGTATGGTAATTGAAGCAGACATTCACTTTAGCATAACGTTTGCTACTAGAATTTGTTTGCTTTCACTTTAGCTTAGCCGTCAATTCAATTAAATATGGATGAAAATAATATTTGAGTATTATAGTATAGATATAGATGCACAATTTTGACTTTATATAATTGTTTGGGGGTATTTATAGTAATCAAAAGTTTTTTATTTAAGGGACTTCTATTAGTAGTATAGAATCAAAAAATTTTCAACTAAGGGACTTTTATTAGTAATATAGATAGATAGATTATTATGAACAAAAGTACCTTAACATGAAAAACTTTTAATTGACCATCTTATCATTAAACAAAATAGGCCTTATGTTCTTTTACCTTTCTATATTCGATCACTATTTTGTCCTTACAAAAAGTTACAAGGCCATTATGTTCTTTTATATTAGAATGTTAAGATTAATATTGTCATGTCCTCTTGTATTTTACTATTCAAATTACACCCTTAACATAGTCCTTAATTTTTATAATTTATATGTTATCCCACTTGTTTTTGTTTAATAACTCAAAAAGAACTGTATAGCCATCTATACTATCACTCAAAAACACTATTACTATTTAAAAACTTAAAAGGGATAAATATTTTCATTTATTTATGTTTTAAGTTTATACCTATATGTGCAAACAACTTCTAAATCTATATGTTCATAATTTATATAATGAACATAAGGCAAGTAACAAACAAATGATAAATAAAGACTTCTAAATCTCAATGCCTCACTATATTATGCCACTCTTAAAATATATGTAACTTTATAAATTTAGCATTGATATATTAAGTTGTGCTTAAGTAAGATATTAACACAATACTGACCTTCTAAATTTAAACTTTTACTTTTGTTTTAAAACAAAAATAAACTATTTTTCTTTCTGGAGAATATATTTTTTTCTTATTACTATATTTCCCTAGAGGTATTGATGGTAGAAATTTAGATATAGAAAATATAAGATGTTATTTACTTAATTACAAGCCTACTTTGTATGTTTTATATACTTTATGAAATTTTTTGTTACATAATTTTTTTTTCACGTGGTGCGTTTCTAGTACACTAAAAATAGCTATTCTCAAGCCAAAGCTTAAGTACATTGGTTCTTGTAGTCCAAGCTATAACGGGTCTCAAAACTTTTTGAAGTGAGGTAAGACTAAGAGTTATTTAGGCTATTTTTTTCTTTACGTAGAAAGTTTAAAATAAGTTACAGGCTTTCAATGTTTTTGCTTTTACTGAATCTTATGTAAATCTGACTTTGAAGATACAAGTTGATATAGGGTAGAGAACATTTTTATTTTCTATGGATTTCGTCTATTTGTGTTCTTTAGTAAATCTTATCAATCTAAGAGGGATAGAGGAAGGGGGGGAGGGAGGTTGAGACCTAATTGTTATTTTCTCCGCTTGTACATACACATACGTCACCTTCAGAAATTTCAGTTTGCTGCTTCATGCCATCTGATAGAAGTATACCACGTGGTCATTGAGTGCAGCATAATTCAGAACTACCCTTTTGTGAACCACCTGGTCTATGTGACAAATGGGCGCTAAATGTCCTCATGTTGTCAGTTTAGTGATTGTGTACCATCAGGAAAAACTGATCCCTGAGGTTAGAAATTAAGGCTGCTACAATCAAATAATGATGGTGGGTAGGGCTTTGGTTTATGGGTTTTTTGTTGAAATGCTTACATTGAGGTGGTGGGAAGAGTCAAATTGTTGTGGTTAGACCAGCTGAGGGTACCTGCGGGCGTAAATCAATGGGAATCTTTCTGGAAATTTGGACACAAAAGAAAACAAAGATTTTTAGTTAGATTATGGTGGGTAAATTAAGCCTAGGGTCTTTAGATAGATATTTTTTTTGGGTAATAGAAGTTGGATGCTTGAAGGGCTGGATGTGCCTCTTTAGTATTTCAGCGTAGTGGTAACTAAATTAAGGAAATATATGATGAATTTTATAATTTTACGGAGCCCTTTTGAGTCTCATCTAGAAGAAATTAACGGAGTCTTACCTTTGAAGGAGACATGTTGAAAGAAATTTTTTATTAATCAGACTTGTTTGAATTTGTGCCTGCTTGTATTGTTGGGTAACTATTGTGGAGCTATGAACTTGTTTTGAGGCTTATATGAGACAAATGTTTTCGTGTTGAAATGAAGATTTAAATAAATTCAAGCAAGGAAATCACTGGACAAACCCAATATTTTAATACCTGACAGCTGAATATCAAGTGAAACTATGATACTCATGGGAATCTGATTTTTCAGACCAAAAAGACTAAACTAAGTGGGTCATTCTGACCCCTCCTTAAGTTGCTCCTCTAGCACATGTGATCTATGGCTGGTCCCATCAGCTGAAAGTGAGCCCACATGATTCCTCCATGGTTTTTTGAATTTTAAAGAAGCCCCTTGACAGACAGGCATATAGAACAGTTTCAGCCCTTCTCTTGGCACCATCAAGAGTTCGTCCTGATGACTGTGTGTATTTCCCTACTCAATATGGAGGAAGGTGAGGATGAGGTCAAGTCATCATTCCCCTTGCACCCGGGCGATACGTGCTACAATCTCCGGGACAAAGGATCGCAATCCCACTTCAAAAGTATTTACGCTCAAAGACCAAGTACAAATAACTGAGATTACTTCCAAAAAATGGATCAAATAAGGTGAACATCCTTCCGTCTGTCCAGTCTTGTATTTTCCTGTGGAGGTTGACGTTGTCCTTAAGTTATACAGAAATTAATGTGGAACTGCAAGTAGGACCATGCCCATACATAAAATCCCGGTGAATTGTGTTTTTTTAAAAGTATAATTTGTTTGTGATATGTGATCTTCCAAATTAAACATGATTGTTTGGTGGTATGCTAATGAGATTCATGTTTTCAGCTTCCAAGGGAATTTTTGAGGCAAAGGCTATTTGGGGGAAACTTAGTTGCTGAAAAATTAGATAGCTTGCTGGTGCTCACACTGGAACACCTTAAATCCTGTAATGATGGTGGCCGTTTGATTCAAGTAAGTTCTCTGGTTGTCTTTTCCTCAAAAGGTTTTGCTATCCTGGTTCTTGAAATTAATATGTATTCAATTGCCATGGCATAGGTATTCGAATGTCTCCTCCAGTCATTTGACAAAACTGTTTTGACTGCTTACAAATCAAAATTTACCCAGGTAATTTCCTTGCAAAATATCTAGATGACAAATATCCCGTACCAACACAAATTACCCTTTTTGATTCAATTGCTTTGATTTCTCTTTTTCTTTTTCCATCATATGCATTAAACATCGTCGTACAGTTATTGAATCGATTCTCATAATGATGCACCAATTCACCATCTCATCATCTAATATATGTTGCTTATCTTTTGCAGTTTGTAGTGTTCTATGTCTGTTCACTAGATCCTGAAAATTGTGGAAAGAAGTTTGCGAGTATGCTTGCAAATATTTTTATGAATGATGTCTATGCCGAAAGAAGGTAAAGATGTAGGCAACAAACAATTTTTAAACCTATAGCAGCTTTTGTGGAACAGTAATTACACTATGAATTAAAAGGGATATGAGTTTAATGTCTTTTAGGTCACTTATATGGTTGCTTTGAATCAAACGGTAATGAATCTGATGATAAGCGCTTGTAAATCTTGTTTATACTTTATATAGTGTACAGTTTGTACATCGATGTTCAACATGTACCATATGGCACCGACATGGGCATTTGAAGTAGAGATGTATTTTTATTTTCATATGTCATGTTGTGTTACGGGTTATGCATACTTACTTTCAATTTTGACTCTCCCTCCCACCTTCTTTTTCTATTCTCTATTTCCCAAAAAAAAAAAATATCTGCACCCACAAAACCCTCATATGTGTATAGAGCTGTGGATGATGTCTACCACTGATGGTCGGAAATGTTTTTGTTCGATTGAAAACTAGGCAGGTGGAGTCTTTAAGCTAGTAGTGGATGGGGCTCGGCAATGTGTTCCTTCCTTTTTCTTTATAAAATAATCAGCACTGTTCCAACCCAGTAACACTCAATTGCTTCTGCAAATGAGTTGCCAAGTAGAATTGGTGTTCTGAACTCCAAAAGTTTCATTATTTTGTTTGTAAAGCTCACTTGTGTAGGACCATTACCACGTTACTAATTTATGTACTGGCCTTTTGCAGGATGAGTGCTGTTGCTTATCTTGCTAGTTATTTGTCTCGTGCAAAGTTTCTACCCCCGTCATATGTTGCTACCATGTTGGAAAGGTTGCTAAGCAGTTCCTTATCTGCTTATTATATCTTGCATATGTATCTTTAATAAATTACCCAGGCTTGTAAAAAAAAGGCAAAAGAAGAATTTAAGAATGAAGTGAGAATTTCTGATTCCATGTCATCTGTGTATGTGATGTTTCAGTCTGGTAGATTGGTGTTCAGATTATTGCAAAAGCCAGGATGGTGACGTTAATCCAAAAGCACATAGAGTGTTTTATTCCGGATGTCAGGTATGTGATGATTTGACACCACCTCTGATTATTCCCAGAGCTTAAGAGCCAGGTTAAACTTGTCAGCTGGATAGTTATAGAAAGCATTCAATCTGAGAATTGAGATCAGTAAAAAATAAATTATGTTTAGTATCCATGATAAGAAAGAGGTAGCGACAGTCCTTCAGTAATATTCCTTCAGCGGCATTCCTTTTATAACTTCTTATTTCTCATGAGAAAAGACAGTTCAATAGTTTCCAGGTAATCGAGGAAAGATTAATTCATTCTTTTTTGCATTCTCCTGATTCAAAATTTTTTAGTCTCTGGTACTGATCAAATTGTATTGGGTAGTTTAGAATTCTTATACATGTGGATAATCTTTTGATTTCTTCGGTGGTCATTCTACCCTAGACGTGCTGGTTGATTAGGAAAGATGGAATTAATGTTCAATAGGATGAGGCATAAAGCGCATCAAGTATTTAACCACCTCACTATATAGGTTGTAATGCAACTTTCACGCTGTTGAAAAATAATACACTTCATTGTTGTCAGATTGCACATCGTATTATTAAAAAAGATTAAGAATAATAGGTGAATTTTGCACAAATATATCAAATAAAGTCCTCTGATGTTTTGTTTATTTGTAAAAAGAAATCGCAAGTTAAAAATTCAGCTGTTTGTGTGACTGAATGAGATAAAATTTGAACCTCAAAAAAATATTCTCAGTGAATTATAACATCTCATGACATCATTTTGATTTCGAGTTCTACCTCATTCATGTATTTGCAGTTCTTACAATTTCACCAAATGAGTCATGAAGACTGATCCTATGCAATATTTCTTATACAAGTTACTGATGAATATAGAATCCTATGTCCTGGCCAATCAACTGATTAGAAAAATATGTTGTACCAGCAATGTAGAGAGAATAAATAAATGGGATTGTAGTAGAAATGTGAAATATAACTCTACCAAAAATATAAATAAATGAGTGAATGCTACAGAGCATCTTCTCAAATTCAAAAGAGAAATATGAGCAATCATCTTGTTTAATCTTAATTTATTTTGAGACAAAATTGTTATCTTGGAAAGTTGAATTTGTTAAAAAATCATTTTTCTTACAAAAATGTAAAATGGCTTTGAAGGGTGCATGTATTGTTTGTAGCAGATATTATGTGTATTGCACATGTATTATAGCGAGGTGAAGCTACATACACCCCAAATAGCTTTGAGCCTCTTGTGCCCCCCTCTTCTTACCAAAAGAAAGAAACTATTAAATGCTTGTCAACTTTGCTCTCCCAAGTTTGTGAATCTTGGCTTCGCACTTGCATTGTAAAATAGGATGGGAAATGTACTTGTATTTTTCGAATGTGTTGACAAAACATAAGAGACTTGACTATTCAAACTTTATTGGTTGCATAAGGTGCCCCTTACAATACAGCTGTTGCTTGTGATTGCATTAATGTTTTTGCTCATCTTCTGATGTCTACTGTTCCATTATGAAAGATGCATGCAAATAAGGAGACCTTTATATAGGGCTGTTAATCAAACCCGATAACTTGGGCTAGGCTCATTTTTCACTCGCTCATATTATAAAATGAGCAGAATTTAAACAAATTTTTAGGATTTTTTTATCTAAGCTTGACGTATTGGCAAGCTGACTCATTTTTCTACCTATACTAAACGAACTTGTAAATTACTAGTAATCTCTACATTTCAAAATTGAAACCATCATCACCAACATGGGCATGTTTGCCAAGTGCCAACCTTCTTTTCCCCTCGCTATCATGTGGGCCTTGCTAGAGTATATTTAGATATCTAGTGTTTTGGGGTAGTTTAATCACTTATTTTATTTTGTATTGACCTACTATTTATAAGAGTTTTATTCTGTATTCTGTGAGGATTATAATGGGCTTGGAAGATAAGTTACTTTTTGGGATCGTGTGATTTTTCCTACTATTATGGGTGATCAGTTTGGAAAGAAATGCAAGAATCTTTAAGACAAATATGAGGTAGTTGATGGTTTATGGAATTGTATCTATTTTTAGCAACTTTTTGGGCATCAATTTCGAAGGAGTATGCAAATATCCCATCCTTTGGCATTTTGGCAAGCTGAAATGCAGTGTGAATGATTGTTTTTTGCTTTTGTCTTTTTCAGTTATGTCGTGTAAGCATGTTGTTGGTTTTGGCTGATGTATGGACTACTTGCCCATACTTTCTTATAAAAAAATAATTAATTAAGTTCTAACACAAACCAAGTGTGTTATTATTCATTCTTTCTCTATTTTGCTTCTCTTTTCTTCGCTTTTTAATCTAATTTAATATGGCATTAGAACGCGATCTAAACACCATTACCAACTTATCAAATTAATCTGGAGCAAGGACAGAAGTTGAAATGGGGCGGAGTTTATCATTTGTATTGATGTCGTCACCATGACGTTAGCAACCGGAGGCCGCAACAGATTGACTCCTCATGGGCTTCAATTCGGTGCAATTGGTTTCCGATTTGGAGTTCGTTTGAAGAGATTTCTAATTTTTCATAGATTTTTCAAGAAAAAAGGGACCAAAAACCTTGATTTGAGATTTCTTCAAGTTTTGATTGAATTCTTTGCCTTAAATCTGCATCGTAGGTGTGATTAAAATCCTTGGTGTTCGATTGGATGTTTTGGGGAATCTCGAACAGATTTTTGGAAGAACATCGGAGAATTTTTTCCGGTTGGTCTAAATTCTGCTCATTGTGGGTGTCGAGGTGTTCTTGTAGGGCATGGTGGGTTCTCCTTTGGTTCTGATAGGTTTTGTTCTGGTTTGATTGAAGGTTTCCTGTGGACAAGTTCTCTTCTAATTCGATTGAAGGCTTGCTATTGGTTTTCTTCTAGTTCTAAAAGGTTCTTTGTCTGCACATTTGGTTCTCTTTTGTCTTTTCTCGTTTGTCTAGTCTTTCTTGGTTCTAACAAGTTGGGGCTGAGACTTTTTAATTGGTTTGTGGGCTTTGTGAGCTTTGGGCCAGTTGTGCATTCTTTTGTTTATTAGGCTTTATCTTTATTGACCTTGGGTATTTGCACAGTTAAAGTGAGTCTTTCTCTGTTTGAAATTTTGGCAAGTGGAAACTCTATTTTCCCGTAGGCTATTAGTGTGAATTGAATTGGTGACAATTATACGTATTGGGCATACGTTATGAAAAAAATTTTGTTGGGTAAAGCATGTAGAGTTATGTTAATGGTGTTGTGATGGCTCCAATAGATATTAAGGCTGAAAAGTATACAAATTCGTAGAGCAGTTGGGACATCAACAATGCTAAAATCATTATCAGGACTAACAACTTAGTTGATTGAACCATTGATGTTTGATCTGGCCAAGTTTACCAAAACCAAGGAAATTTGGGATTACTTAGCTACTTTATTTGCTCAGTCTAATTTTGCAAAGAGGTATCAACTACAGCTTGAAATTCGAGCTTCTTGTCAAGGTGATAGGAACATTCATGAATTTTACTCAGTTATGACTAACCCACTGAACATAGTAGTAATAAGGTCAACCACACCTTTGGAGTGGGGCAAATGTGGTTCAATTTTTTATAGTACTCAGCGATGACTTCAAGGGATTTCGTGATTCAATTCTTCATCTTCATCTCCTCCTCTTCTATGGAACTCGGGGCTTATTCAGATGTTGATTAAGCTGGTGACTCTATGGATCAAAAGTCTATCATTGGTTTTTATCTCTTCTTTGATGATACTCTTATTTCCTAGAAAAGAAAGAAGCAAACGATAATTGCTTGTTCCTCCGCTAAAACTTAGTATCGTGGTATGACATATAATACAATTGTGATAATTTGTTTAAGTTGTTTGCTTGCTAATCTTGACATCTCCTTATATGCTCTTACACTTTGTATTGTGGCAACACTAGTAGTATTCAAATTGCTTACAACTCAGTGTTTCATGAGCGTCCAAACTCTAAAACATATTAAGATTGATTGTCACGTTGTGGGCCATCTTCGTCTGAGCACTATCTCTCTTCATTTTCTTCCTTCAACTATGCAGGTGGTGTATTTTTTATATAGTCTTGTACAATAGTGCGCTCTCGTTTTTTGCTCGACAAACTTTTGATGTTCCATACTCTCACATCACGAGTTCAAGGAGGAAGGGGGGTTGTTAGAGTTTATGTGGATATTTTATTTTAGGGGTAGCTTAGTCACTTACTTTATTTTGTATTCCCCTACTATATTTATGTCATTTATTGTGTATTCTAATTAATTAAGTTGCAACACAAACTAAGAGTTATTATTTCATTCTCTCTCTCTCTATTTTGCTTATCTTTTCTTCTCTTTTTAATCGAAGTTAACAGGCCATACATATTCTCTCTCTCTCTCTCTCTCACACACACACACACACACACACACACACACACACACACACACACACATAGTTGCCCCTCCTTTCTTTCGACCTTTTCATTATTTTGCATCCATGGAGAAGAATCCTTCCATTATTTTGCATCAATGGAGTCGATTCTCGGTCTTATTACCCACCAGCATCCTTTTTTCCCAGTCGAAACCCTAGGATTAACTAATACTAGAAAATAAACATACATGGCTATGATATATTCTATTTACATGACTTGTTGTGATTTTGTAGTTTTTCATGTTAAGATTGTGTTTTAGATTTGGATTTTTGGGAGTTTTATGTGAAAATTTTGGATTGGGCATTTGAAGATGATAGATTTATATATATATATATATATATTTTTGTGAGTGACTCATTTTTTGAATTGGGCATTTGAACACGATAGATTTGGGCAATGGGTTTAGTTTAAGCTAGGCTCGAGTCGACCTTAAACATCCTTTGAAGAGTTCGAGTCGTGCCTAAGCACAGCCAAGCTTGAGAGGCTTGACTCGATTATCACCCTTAACTTTATATATATATTTTGATAGGAAACAAAACAACTTTATTGAGTTTAAATGATAAAAAATGGTACATCAAAAAGCACTATGGATGGATAAGACTTCTAATCATAAAGTGGAAAAATACAAACTTCAACTAATCAAATTATGTATCATATAAGGCCTTACAATTAGCTAAAAGACAAAGTGGAATACAATCAAACTCCTTTGTAATGGAAGCACCACACAACGATGACAAAAAATAAATGCGGTTCCATAAACCTTCCTTCCATTTTCCTTTGTTCTAAAAAATTCTAGAGTTCATTTCCAACTATATTACTCATATGATGGCAAGAAAAGCACAATACCAAAGGGTTATTGCTTTATTATGTCTTCCTAACCTCTCAAAATCGTCCATCATCATTGTTCACAATGGCCTAGGAATCACTTATCACAGAGGGAGAAAACACTGAGTGTGTAGAATTATTAATTAATTTGTCAAAGAATGACTTAAACGAAAACTTCGAAGACTCAAGACACCATTTTTTTTATCACTTCTGACATAACCTAACCTCATTAATCAAAGATAGTAATAACATTAATTTCGTAAAATCTCTATCATTAAGATTTCTACGATATTTAAAATTCCAAGAAATTGATTAATTAGAATAATGACACATTGAAACAATAAAACACCCATGAGAACGAGATAAATGATAAAGACGGGAAACCGTACATGAAAAAGATAAGGATCCCACCCAAATATCCTCTGAAAAATAAATTCTCTCCCCATTGCCCACCATGAATGTAATATATTGAGAGAACCTCAAAAATCCCTGAGAAATAAACTTCCGTGGGCATCGATAAAGTTCCCAGTCAACCCTTTTAGCATCTCATATATTGGCATGTAATCTATATTTGCTCTTAATAATCGAATACCATAGAGAATTTTGCTCCAAGGAAAATCTCCATAGTCATTTACCAACTAAGACTACATTTCTTGCCTTCAAATTTTCCACTACAAGGTTGCCTTTAACTTTTGTTATTGGGACAACCTTCCAACTTACTAAATGATCATTTTTTCCCTCATCACTTCCTTCTCACAAAAAATCTCTTACTATTTTCTCAATTCTCATTACAATCTTTCTTGTCATTTTAAAGAGAGTGAAAACAATATTTAGGAATACTAGCCAAAACCGATTGTACCAATGTTAATTTACCCCTCTAGAATACCAGCTTTCTTTCACCCATCTAATCATTTTCCTACCCTCTCCACAATAGGGTTCCAAAATGCTAAAGATAAAAGATTCCCCTCCAAAGGAAGACCCAAGTGTTTAAAGGCCACTCCCCCACTTCACACCCTTAGCATTTGTGCCAATCTATCAATTTTATCCGGTGAAGAATTAATGGCCACAATCAAACTTTTCTCCCATATTTACCTTTAATCTAAACACCATTCCAAATATCTCCACAATCTTTTTTAAATTGTTAACTTTTTCTTCATCTCTCCCTAAAAAAAGATAGTATCATCCGCAAATAGTAGATGTGATACATTAATTTCATCCCTCCCAATAATGAAACCCTCCACGAGATCGAATGTTTCTGCTCTCCTTACTAACCTACTCAATCCATCAGCCACTAAAGTAAAAAGGGGATAAAGGATTATTTTGTCTCAAACCTCTAGTTGCTTTCAATCTCCCCCTAGGCCGCCCGTTAATCATAACGGAAAAATTCATTGATTGCAAGCATCCATTAATCCACCTTCTTCATCACCTACCAAATCCCTTCATCTCCAACACATGATTCAAGAAACTCCAATCCACATGATCATATTCTTTTTCAAAGTCAATTTTGAAGACAATACCCTCTTGGCCCTGCACCCTTACCTTTATGTATAGGTGTGTGTGCACACTCATACACAAACATATAAGAAGTCGTGGAGGAGTTGTCATTTGTGGCATTGTCTTTTAATTTTTTACTTCATTTCGAAGCAGTATAGGGTATATTCTTCTAGCAATATCTATTTGCTTCTTTCTGCTGAATTTAAGGTAGACATGCATTCCCTTCAAAGGGAAAGAATTGTGATGCTCTTTGGTCAGATGACCAAGATATTGACAAATACCACATATGACGTGATTGTATTGTGATTACCTTACTCCTTTGCTCAGTTGATTCTGTTATATTAATTTCTCAAACAGTTACATATTTTGTCTGCTGATGTCATTTTGCTTCAGTGCAGGCCATCATGTATGTGCTTTGCTTCCGTATGAGATCCGTGGTGATTGTTCCTCGTCTGAAATCACAACTTCTTCTCATGGGTATTGAGGAAATCTTGCGGCATCCATTGAATGCATTAAGGGTAAGGTGAAACATTGGCCTTCGTCAGGCAAAAGTTTAAGATTGTATAATGGAAAAACCTGCATTTTAGTAATTAATAACATGTATCTTGTTTGCATAATCTCCTAATTATAGACTTTAAGCTTATTCATTATTTAGTGTATATGTTCAAGACTTTGCAATTCCAAGTCTCTTATGCCAGGTTGCTCTATTCAATGTATATTTAAACAGATAAGTTGGCCTAATCTTCCATCAGTTGTCTCCTGCAACAGGTGTGCCTTCCATCCATAGTAGAGGAATTTCTTGGGCAGGCCAAAGCAGCTCGGCTTTTTTCTTTTTCTGAGACCTTTGTTCTTGATGGTTTGCTGGAATCCGAACTTTCCAGGGCTTTTGGTGGAGTAGAAAGGCTTGACATGTTCTTCCCATTTGACCCATGCTTATTGAAGATGTCTGACAGGTTCGTGTTACTTCGGAAAAAAACATAACTGAAAGGAACAACTAGTTTTTATTGAATTCCTATATTATTATGTCAGAGCTCTAATTGGGGTAATTAAGAGGACTTAAGTTGTCTACTTCCATATTTTCTGGTTCTTTTAGACTTAAAACTGGCTGAGGATAATCACCACATGCAACAGTTGCTTAAATAAGCCTTCTTTTGGAGTTCTAGACCTGTTTACTAGGGATGCCACCAAACCCATTTCAGTCACCTCTGCATTTAACCCAGTCTTATTTTTGAGTCGCAGACTATTTTGTTGGGGATACGAGAATTTTTTAATGTTGTTTTATTAACTTTGCTGTTTAGACTTAAAGTACACAGTTGAGACTGGAGAAATTGGTTTTTCCAGCGTTGATTTCTTCCAGTTGCTTATTGGTGTTGCACTGACCACTGGTTGTTTCTTTTCTTCTAATCACTTAATCTGTAGATTCATCCGGCCAATCTTCATTTACTGGTCATTGGTCAGGCCTAATTATTTTGGTGGCGAAGATGATGAATTAAGCAGTGATGAAGATGTTGCCGAGGATCGGTTTTATAGAAACAAAATGAATGTTGAGGGTGGTATAACTGGCACAAGCTTTGACGAGGATGATGGAATCGGCAGAAGTTTTGAGGAGGATGATCCTGATCTTGATGAATTTGACTATTCACTGAACAAAATGTCCATAACACCCAAGAATTCCCTGAATTACACGTTCGAAGGTCAACTACAGCGACGTATGCAGATGCCCTCTAGAATTAGACCCTCCACAAGTCCCGAGTCCTTGTGATTTTCTGAGGCTCTTTACTTTTTTCTGGAAGAGAAGGAAAATTGGAATGCTTATTGACATGGGGAAACACCCAATCTGCCAATTTTTGTCCCCGTTTCAGCAGTGTGGTATGGGTTTGGGCTCATAGTTTATTCAAGTTTCTTCAGTTGAGGAGTGAAGAAGTATGGGATATGGTTTCTCTCCTGCCGAAGGGTTGGTATTGTAATCTTGTGATGTATTTTACTACTTGAGCAATCCCATTGTAATATTTATCAAAATATTGGCTATCTAGCAGAGATGGTTATCTAATACGGTCAATGGTTGCTTTTATGAATAGCTTGATGAAAAGTCCTTAGGTGCTCACTTTCTTGACAAATATCAAATAGTTCACAAGGACATGAGCTTCTTACTTGTCTCGGATATTGTTATTTTTCCCCATTTTATATCAAATGACAGTTGTCGTGGAAACAACTTTATGGCGGGTATAAAGTTGCATACATTTGACTCTAACACCATACAATGGCAAGAGGCCTTTTTTTTAAAAATCTCAGTAACCATTGGGAGGAGGGGATGGGCTGACCCCAACTATTGTTGCTGCAAGGAGTTTTTATTTTTCAAAGAGCACATTCAGTTAAGTGTTACAATAACAGAAATAGGAGAAAAGAGATCACAAGGGAATATTTGACAGCAAAATTCCAAGAGACTTCTTACCATGATTTAAGAACCCAGGAACCTTTCAACTACGGTCATGGTCTTTCACCACTGCAACTAGGCTAATACAATGCAGGAATAAACATTCGTAAATTACACATTAAGCTTCCTAATACTTTGGACCGGGGTTATGCAAAGCACATGCCCAGGAAAAAGGTGTTGAGAACAAGCGAGTCACTTCTGACATGAGTCATTCTATCTCCAAGGCATGGTAGCCATGCCCTGCGGATTGTTGTTATTGCAGGCTCCAGTGCTTTGGTTTAGAGGACTTCCCGGCCCTCCTGAGGACTCGCTTAGTGTTCCACGTGACTGGGGGCTGCCCCCTGATGCTCCTGAGGCAAGCTTTGGTGGAGAAATCAAACCTTCAGCTTGTCCTGATTTTGATTGCTTCCGACCATCAGCCATGAAGCTACCGACAACTACCTGAAATAGGACCAGAAATCACAGTAATTAAGTAAAGTTCAGGGCTGGTTGGGGAAGTAATCTCTTAACACAAGGAGTACTAACCTACCCAGGTATATAGTAATGCTGATTCATAAGAAGGCAGTAATGATTCCAAGTAAAAATACACCTACTAACATCCTCCAGGGGAAATAATTCCATCATTCTTTCTTGAAGGTTCACATTCTCTACAGTTACTTTACCTATACTTCCTCCTGTGAGTGCTTCTTCACAAATGTATACTGTAAACAGTTTTACCTTTTGATTTGAACTTATACTATACCAATCCCCAGTACAATACTGGAAAAGCATTTATTAGGCGTGGCTTATTCATCTTCTTCAGCAACAAAGTTTGATTTTCATTTTTTGGGGTACAACTTTCAGATTTAACTTCATTCTTCTTTTCTTTTCTCTCCATCGCACTTACCTTCAGAGAAACACAACCCGCATATTACAACTAACAAAAGGAGCATGAGCTAAGCTTCAGACATAAGATTCTCAATCCTCAACATCTTAATGAGGTATAACTGACCCCATCTCCCATTTCTTATTTAGCTAAAATGGGATTAACAAGAAGATTCCAATTTTTGGGACAATATCAATAGGAACATGTAATTTTTGAAATCCAAATGAGGCCATTTGACCCCTTTATTTCATGTGGCTCAGCCCATGGTCAGACTACAGAGTGCATCCTGACATTAATTTTGGGCAAGGACATGGACGGACATTGCAAAGAGATTCTTTTTTGGTCATGATCTTGACTTCTTGAGAGAGAATAAACCAGCAATAGATCTGACCAGAGCAATTCAATTCCTATACTGTATACATCCTCAAAAAGGGGAGAACAATTTTAGTGAGCAAACAAACCTGAACTGGGGCTGCTGCAGTTAGGAGCCCTGCCACACCACCACCTAAAACACGACCATCTGGCCCAGCTAGTGAGACACTCAACCCACCTGTTCTGCTGCGCTGACCACCACTCTCTGTCAGCAGAAATGAACCAGAAAGAGACAAGATCTCAAATCGTCCCTGCATAAACATGTATGCACATCTTATCTAACATAACATGAGTGAAAACTATATACCTACCACAAATATTTACGTAGTTACTGCTGTAGTTACTTCTGATTGTGCCACTTATCTGAACCCAGACAGAACCAAATGAATCATATGTTGAGAAATTATAGAATCCAATATTACCAAGAAATAGACCAACTATGGTCCTTTGTCTTCCTATATTGAGGTATGCTATTTAATGCCTTTGAATGGAAAACTCCATGGAATGATTTTATCAAAGCAATGGGGACAATGTAAAGCCATATTTGTTTTTATTCCCAGATGCATGACTGTGTGTCGACCAATCTAACACAGCTCTTTGAGAATATCAAGAAATTCACTGCCTATCATTTATGGGGAAAGGACTAGCATAATCACAATGTCAGATTTGCCATTAAAATCACATGCACAAAATTGATATAAATTTCAGACACATTTGATGACATTCAAAAAATAACTGCACCGCCCATGTAAGCTGCTAGTTTCCGCCACTCCAAATAACAACTTAAAAACTGAGACTTAGGAGGGTAAAGGCAAAGATAAAATGGATAGAAAGAAAGAGTGAAAAATGACTGACTAAGGAGGAGATCACATTATCTTGCTCAATTCGACGTGAAAATTTGAGATAAGCTTTCAGCATAGCAAATGGTAGTATTTTATTTTTCATTATCATAAGGAACATCGTCTTGATGGGTCCATGCTATGCAATACCATATGTTCAAATGCTACGTGGGACCCCTGACACAAGGAAATTATTTCAGTTCAAATGTCGAGAAAGTCTCTAAATTGAAGGTCCTGACTCCTGAGCCTTGTGGTCAATTACTCAATCATATTCCTCTAACATGTCAGCTCCATGAAGATTTATTATTATGGTATCATACATTCATAAAACTAAGATTTATAAGTTATTTTAAGCACTTCACTACATGGCAAAATATAGTAGAAGATCCATGTTTTATTTCAGCAAATGTTGATCCCTTACGATATCATCATTTATAAGCAAGGATGATCTAAATATTCATTTAAATATAATCAAACCTCATAAGTTACAGTTCCACCAGATGTTGAAGCTTGGCGAAGTGTTACGTTGGATATGGCACCATTTGCTGACAGAATGCAGACAGCTCGTGTGGTATTTTGAGAAAATGTCATTAATTTCGCCAGAACATCCTGACAAGCAGAAATAAAGAGAACTCAAAAGGATATTCAACAAAGCTCAAAACACACCCAATAGGATAAAAAGAGCAATTCTCAAAAGCATATTGCTCAACATGTACAACACACCTAGTCTATAACAGAATTTGTCTCACAGTCACATGATTACAAAATGTTCAATAAAAATTTGGGGTCGATAAATGGCGGATCCAAGACAAGGGACTGGAAGGAAAGCCAAGATTTGGTCCAAGAGGACATGGGACCCATGGATTTTTGTTCAGCATCCAAACTTAGTCCTTTCCACCAAAGCAAAATTGTAAGGATGACAGAATAGTGGAATACACTGGTTGCATTGCCACATGGTACACGTCAGATAAGGTTGACCAACAACCCCATTTTTCTTGCACAAGAGAGACGTGTAGCCCATTCAGTGAAGCCCACTTGCCTTCTCAATGCCAATGGGAGGGTGACTTTAATCCTTGACAGACAAAGCCTTCGTAAAGCAAGAAGTACCACTAAACCAAAAGCCTGTTTGTTTTCCGTGCCATCTCAGCGGCATTTTCGCTTAACCAAATCGTCTTCCAACCAATCAATAAGGCAACATTCAGCCCCAAACACGAGAATGCCACAGACAATCCATTAGAGCTTATCTTGTGATATTCAACCACAATGGAGGTGCCTGACAAAACCCAAGAGCAACCCATCCACCCGAATTCACAACATTCAGGATCAACCCACAACAACTCATTTGGCCACAATCCAGCAGTGGCTAGTGCATTACAGTTGCCCCTACAACTAGAAACTATTGCAAGCTCAGTGACCGTAGCTTTCATAAGTGCTTGACACAAATCATATGAGCCGAAAGGTACAGAAAGATTGGTAAGATCACACTAGCCAAAACTAGAGATTCGCTCACGATTTATGTTGATAGAGACCATCATCATCAGCCACCTCTGAAGAGGAATGGGAGGTTTCAGTAGATGTTTCTGGACTACATTTCCAAACTTTCAAAAGATCTGGCCACTACAAGTTTCTCTCAAACTCACTAGAAAGACACCTATTTTCTCCAAATCCTCTGATTGCATGTGTCAGCTCGCTCTCCGGCATTTGGCAGTTGTAATCAGCATCAGCTCTTAAACCATAATAGCAAAAAAAAATACAGAGAAGGAAGGCAAAGACAAAACTAGTAGGATCACTAGGTTTGACATGGATGGAAACAAGATGGTTCCTACTTGTCAATCTGGATTCTTAAAGTGGAGGTGGAGTCGGGAGGGCGGCAAAGCCAGTCTTGTGGAGCACGTTCCTTTAGTTAAGGTGTGAGCTAGGTAAGTATCTGGCGCTAGAAAGCCTTAGAGAGCAGCTTTGTCTTAAGCATAGAGCTGGGAAGGGCCATCTTAGGAAGCGATCTCTTTGCTGAGGAAGGCCATATCCTAAGAAGCACTAAATTAGACCCCTAGGACCAAGTTAGGTAAGTTTGTAGATCATTTGTTAATCCTTTTTTGAATCCCAGGTTTCCTAGTATCCAACGTCGTCCGGATTTTTTTAGCATGCCCAGAGTATACAACATGTTTTCCCCCCGAGGAAACAAGGAAAAAGGAAAATCTAGTTTTGAAGCCTTAAACGAACAGTCTCTCTATTTGGCTTTGTTCTTATTACAGTATTCTCTTCAAACAACCGACACCTAACAACGTATCTTCACAGACCAAAAACTACGAGATCACCCATTTCATTCTGGGGTGATGGAGGGATCATACCATTCGAACCGTTTTTTCATGCTTTTTTGAGAGGTCTGGAGAAAGCTGCAATCAATAGAATTTTTCTAATCCTCCCTTGGATGGGTGTGAAATTCTTTTTCCTTTCTTCAGAGACCAGGAGATTGCTAGGAAAGAAATTTTTTTTTTTTGTGGGGGATGGGTGGTTGGGGAAAGGGGTCCAATTGGGGGAGAGGTAGATGGACATGAAAGCTCTTGGGGCAACTTTCTCTCTAGATTGTAGAGGGAGAAGTTTCCTCCCCCAAAGGGAAAATCCTAACCAAACTGAAATAAGGGAAAAATAACTTAAATATGCTAAATAATTTCTAGAATTTATAAGATGAGGTTATTTGCTTAGTGATGCCAACATCCCCTCTTTCAAACGGACATATCAATTGATAACTGAATGACAGGGCATAATAATATTGGAACCAAGTACCAGTTTGGCTCAGCCATATTTTCTCTGTGATTACAAAAGTCCAACTAGACCTAGTGGCACGTTATTTATCAACAAGTGGAAACCATAGAAACATAGCTTTCCCGATGGAAGCGTAGTGTTCTCTTATAACAATTACTAAATTGACTGATTTACTTAATTTTCACCTATTGGCCAATTTTAAATATTTTTTTTGTCCTAACAGTTCTTTGCTCTCTCTGTAGAGCCTCTTCCCTCAACTCCAATGGCGATTCCTTTCTCACTTCCAATGGCGATTCCTCCCTAAGTTCCTACTCATATTCCCAAACTTTCCTCCATTATTATCTTCCTCTATAACCCATCTTACATTCACTGCCAGACCATCTCTATAAGAATCCACCAGCCCACCCCATCCCCACAGCCATACCATCTCTGTAAGAGACCATCAGCCCACAAATCCTAAAACACCTTCTTGGAAAACACAATCACCACTTAAGCAGTATCCAATTCCAGAATTTCGATTATTTCTTCTCCAACATTGACACTACACTACATCAAGCGCATAGATACACTTTGACAATGCACAATCAGGAGATTACCAACCGCAAATCTTACCATCCAACTCCAACCAGATGAACAAACCACAACTTTTGTAACACAGTTCTACCTAATCGGCAAATTCTTCACCACCAAACACTTGAATAGAATTGCAGTGAAAGCTATCCTCGCCCAAGCATGGAATGCTGATAAACATTTGGCGATAAAAGATGGTGATGAAGATACATTCAACTTTATTTTCACCAATAATGAACTCAAGCAACGTATACTCTGTCAAAGCCCTTGGACAGTGAAAGGTCAACTGTTAGTGATTAAACAATGGTGTGGGAACTCCCCAAATGAAGAAATACAATTCAACATTACCCCTTTCTGGTTACTGGCACATGGTTTGCCTCCGGATATGATTACTCCAGACAATACAATGACAATTGCTAAGGCCCTTGGCACCCCTGAGATCCCCAAGCAAAATCTTCGACAAGGAACCCTATGGAAAGGCTACATCTGTACAAGGGTCATCACGGACCTCACTTGACCTCTGCAAAGCCATTTCTGGATGCCAAGAGAAGGAAACTCAAATAAATTTGTTGCTCTAAATTACGAAAGACTTGGAGATTTTTGCTACAGTTGTGGTAGAATAGGGCACACAAAATCTACTTGCCCCGATGGATCTTCTCAAAGAAATATTGATCAATTTGGCCCCCATCTTCGAGTCCTTACTGGAAAGTCGCTTGAAATGAACTTTGCACTGAAAAATTCATTCAACCCACCGGATCAGCTGGCATATGCTCGTATCCGCTTGTCATACCTATGCCCTCGAATCAAACGACTCGCCCATATCGCGGTTAGTGAGCTCGTACCCTCTCGCATCGTACACAGAGTCATACACGTGGAGAGAAAGCATTGGATCCATCTATAACCACCTCTACGACTAAATCCCCTCGCCACCTCTGTGCCCTAAACTGTCACCTTTCTCACCTTTAGAAGAGCATTATATTCCCAACACAACCCACACACCTCTCCACCCCTCCCCTTAATACCAGCAGTCAGCAGAACACTCCATATCCAATCCGACCCAATAAAGCCCAATACCACAAGACCAAGGGCCAATCCAAATACTGCCTAACACCCACAACCCAAACCCATAGCCCCTTTAAATAATCCTCAATCCACGGTCGACTCAGACAGTCACCACTTAATCACCAAGGGCGGCTTAAGTCAATTTGAGGCCAAAAACGAAAATATTAAATGGAGGCTTTTTTATTTTTAATATTATTTTTTAAAAAATTTAATTTATTTTTAATTTTTCATGTGAGAGGGAGACAAAAGAAGAATGTGTTAATATTGTCGAGAAAGAGATTTCAATTTTTGTTTTTGTTTTTTATTTTTTTTTTACTGGAGAGAGAAAAAAAAGTGGGTGAGAGTAAATATGAGTCGACTTTTGAATATTTTTTAATTTCTAAATTTTTAATGTTATGGATTGGATTATAGGCCCAAATTATTGCAATAAAAATTTTGATTGAATTTAATTTTTTGGGGGTTTTTTGTAGGACTTAAAATTGAATAGATTTAATTTTTTTTGTGGGCTAGTGATGTACCTAAAATTATGGGGCCTTCTAAAAATTTAGAGCCTAAAACCCATACTTTTTTTTCCATATTGTTGGGTTAGCCCTATTAACCACCATTCACACCCCAAAAGGCCCATACAAACAAATCAATGAACCTCCTTCCCCTTCCTTCCCCAGTCAAACCAAAAACCCAACTCCAAATTTCTCGATCACTGCACCACCAAATTTTCCTCTTCTAAACAAGTAAACCTTTACACTACACCACAAAAAGCTTCAATTCCTCAAATCTCTACCAAGTTACCAGACCATCTACACTCAATCGTAGATAGCCAGTGTTGTGCATCGCCTTTCGCTAAAAAGAAGCCCCTTTGAAGATGAAGGCCATCTAAATAAACTCCTATTATTTTTCTATTTTCCTTATATTTTTATTTTCTTTGGTCTGTGATGAGCTAAACATCTACTCTATGGTGCACACAAAAGTCCAAAAGAACAGCAAAGGCAAAAAATTATTAAGGGCGTACCTCTCCAGCTTTCACTGTTATAATATGTGGTGTAAATCCAACCCCAGCTGATCCTGCAAATTTAACTCCCATAAAAACCCACAAGGACTAATGATGGCAATGCAGCTTCAATATTAAAACCATTCAATAATAGCACAAGGAATTCTGAACTTACGATGTCACAAACTTGAGTGCCAAACAAGAAGAGTTCAAATCTTTCAGAGATTATAAAACAAGTAATTGACAAAGAAAATGAGAAAAATAGCAAATTATGGATAATAGAGTTCTCACATAACAAACAACAAATGTAGAAAAAAAAAAAGTTAATCACATCACTTTCAAGGAAAGAATCTAATTCATTGCTTGTCACAATAAAAAGACCTAGAAACCTAGTGAAATCAAGTCCATCCAGTCCCAGTTCAGAATCAATGTTTACAATGTACCTTTTCCAAAAATAACAAGAAAATTCACTGATGATACAATTGCTGTCCTCCTAGGTGCAGAAAAATATAAAAGTTCCTCTTAAATAATTCTTCAAAGAGAGGCATTTCTCTCATTTACCCTCACTAATTCCAAAAATATCAAAGCATTAACCCCATTTCTCTGAGAACCCAATATTGATTAACCACCAAAAACTCCTCCTGACAAAAAATGAAACACAATAAACCAACTTCTAATTAAAAACATTAAAGGCAGAGACTCAGAACAAATGCATGTTGCTGGAAAACAACAAATATTCCCCAAACCGTCTTGATTGGAATATAATACAATACATAAAGTAAGAGTACCCCTGTGGAAGACATAATTAAAACGCACATAAGGGAAATAATAAATCATCCATAAAATAATCCAAAAAGAACCCACGCCAATATGTACGTGTGTGGTAGGTACTTTGGGAGGGAAATACCTAGAGCAGCAACTTGGTGTTTGCGGCCGGAACCAAACGGCCTGCCTCTTTTCTTCCCCGACGACGCTGACACTGCTCCGGTCGCAGCGGATGGCGGAGTAGGAGGCTGTACCGTTCCGGACAACGGTGGAGTAGATTTCACCGTAAGAGCCATAGAACCATCCGGAGCGTACTTCCTAGGCCTCCCTCGCTTCCTCTTCATCGATTCACCGGCACTGGTGTTGATGCTCGGCTGAGGAGCCGCCACCGCCGCCGCAACTGCAGACCCATCGCCACCAACACCACTGACAGTAAGCTGATACGTAGGTGTCGGAGAGGGTGACGAAACCATCGGTTTGTACATAGCAGAGCCATCGCCGCTATAACCTAAACGAACGTTGTGCATCGAAGATTGAACCTGAACCTCGTACGATTCTCCACCAGACATTCTAATTTTTTTTCTCTGATTATTTACTCTACTTTAATTCGTATTCATTAATTTTATCTGATGAATCTATAAACCCTAAAATCCCTACAAAACTCTTTCCGAAGTAGAAAACTAATTGCCGAAAGAAAAAAAAAAAAAACCTAATTAGCATAAAAAGTCGCAAACTCTATATAAAAAATTCAAATTTTTTCTACGAATCTAAGCGTTGTTGTTTTGTTCTTCAAACTACTTCAGATCGAAAAATCTCTTCTTTTTCTGAAAATTATTGAAAATTTTGTATAATATTCCACGAGAAAATAGGGGAAAATACCGTAGAAAAATGCAAAAAATAAGTAAATAAGTAGAAATTGTTTCTTCGGAGTAAAAAAAGAGTTATAAGGAAAAGAAAAAAAAAAGAAATTAGGAAATATTTATTCGAGGAATATTAGTTAGGGTTTTCTGAGAAAAGACGATGAGGAGGTTCGGGGCGAAATGAGAAAGTAGGTGTGAGATTTCAGATTATTTTTCAATACTTATTTTATATATATATATATATATATATATGTATGTATGTATATTTAGGGTTTCTCTATCAGAAATTTAGGTGAAAAGAGGCCGAATTAGGTTAAAAAGAAACCTAACAATGCCCACGCGCTCCGAATCACGTTCTTTATAGCAAATTCTACGTAAAAAATGAGTAAACATTATATGTTAACACTACATTCTAAATTATAAAGTGAGAGAGCGGAGCATAAAAGGGATAACATTTAAAAAAAATTTGAGAATAAGAATAATGTCTTGAAAACGTCATATTATATACATACGTACACACATTCATATATAAAAATTTTATATAAATAAAATATAACAAATTAAGATTTTATGTATAATTACGAGATAAACTATTTAATTCTTAAAATGGTAATTATAGTTTATAAATACTATTTTAGTTTGATGTGTATATTTAGGTCTAAAACAGGGCTTCCCAAATACAAATTTGAGTAATAATAAGTAAGCATATAAATAAGTAAAAACACGAAGTAGTCGAGATGCATGAATTTTGTAAAATGAGAGCACAAATTTTCAAAGAATTCATTTTTAGAGTACAAATTCAGGTGCGAAGCACAAATACGTTAGGAGTTTAAAAGAATTATGTGACTAAAATTACATGATGTCATCATCGTCACGTGTAATTAATCAATAATAAATAAATAAATAGGACAAATAAACCCCACTAACCTTATATGATTCATTAACCCTATATAATTATTCATAATTAATAGATTACATCACGTAACAATGATAACGTAGTATAAACGTTACATTAAATATTTTCTCATAAAAAAAGGGGCAATAATATTTAATTAATTGACATAAATTCTTACCACATTTATTTTTATAAAAACAATGAGATTAAAAACAACATCCGCATAAGTCATGTATATTCTAATTTATGTTTGTCTAATAGTTGCACTATTTTACCCTAACAAGTATAATTGGATTATGATAAATAATAATAAATAAATAAATTTGGTTGAGTACAACAAGGTTTCATTATTCTTAACAAAGAAAAGAATTAATAAACATAAAACTACTTACTATCAACTGAGACCTCGATAAGAATTGACTTATAGGTTAAACAAACACTATACTAGTCTAGCTTGTCATTTATAGCAATTGTCTTGAGGATCAAAACCTAATATAGTATCAATAATTAGTATCATTAAATTAGTTCCAAAAAATAAACAAAATTTCATGACAATTTAATCCCCATTTGATGCAAGCCCATTATTCTACAACACCACAATAAAAAAAAAAATGACAGACTTTGAATCTAAGATCAATCAAGTCAATCATAGAGAAAGAACGAACCTTGAAACTTGAGCTCAACCGATATTTATAAAAATTTGTATCCTCTATTTAGAGTTTAGATTAATGACTAAAAGAAAATAACACACCTATTTTTTGCTTAGATTTTCCCATATTCATATTTACACATTTCTAAGTTTCTTTTGTTATTAGTCAACCCTTTAGGTCATATATTTCAAACAGTGAATCTATAAATTAGACAATTTTCTCATTATCTACCTAAAACCACCTCTAATTATTCAAGATGGCCTAACCATCTTTTTGTTCGATCCTTAGTCCTTGTCCTTATACTTGTGAAGTCAGAATTCGACTGAGATTCTAACTCATATGTTTGTTCAGTCTTTTCACCAATTGCTCGGTTATTGTACTAACCAAGTCATTCAATTATGAGGCTCCTTTTCAGATTGGCTAAGGTTAAAACCTGTTCAACAATTTATCTATGGCTCGGTCAGAGACACTCGGCCATTAGCATATTGTTTGTACTTCTATCACATGCTTTATGCCTCATGTCTTTATTAAATGGTCTAATCATGCATGATAACTCTGAAACCCCTTCAAAGAATCACATTTAAACAAATCCAATGCAGTCCCATTTAAACAAAGAGTATGGCTATAAATGATCTCTTCCAAAATCTCAATCATGGTCCACAACCTATTCAAAAAGTCTTCAGTCTTGCATAGAAGAACACAACTGTTACAGAACCTGCGATTTTAGTAGTAAACAGCATCACCTCTTAGTTACAAGTATACAGAATCATTAGATTTTTAGGTTTTTCTCCACATTCTTTTCGGGTGATCCAGGAATTCATCTACATCTTTTCAACCTATATACAAAAGAGATGGCAGGCAAGAGAGGAGAGTATCATGTAGCTCAAAAAGAAGATTTCATAGGATTAGAAGAAACGAGATGAGAATTGACAAACATACATGCACACACGATAAACAGGAATTTCCTACACTATAATTTCTGTTTACAATCCCTTGGAGGTCCTCTTCTAAGCCTCTTCAAGGGTGGCAGAACATCATCTTCCACAGTCTGACTTGAAGCGTCACCATTACTATCTGCATCTCACAGATTAAGCAAGAAAAAACACTATAAAAGGAGGGATCCAAATAGATGCCGATATATATAGTAACTCCACCGTTCAAACAATTCATAGTTTAATTTTAACTAAAAATCCAATGTTACATGTAAAAGCACATAGCAACAATCCTGCACTGGAGTTGATGAGAAACTATCCCCCCCCAAACCCAAAAAAAAAGAAGAAGAAATGGAGAGAAAAGGGTTCGGGGGGGTCTTAAAGAGTTTTCTCTCTACAGATTTTCCATCAGTTAGAAACTTATAACAGTACATATATCATCAATCAACACCTCCAAATAATTTAGGCATGTAACATGTTTGCCAACTTGTTGATTTCAGTAAAAATACATTCAGGAACTTGAGGCTAGCACCAACTACGGTAACATTTTCACCTATTCCTTGTTATTAACTTCTGTTCACTATTGTTTCCTTGTTACAGTGAACTTCCTTTTTGCAGGTTTCTAAATTCTAATCTTCTTCGTTTTTTCAAAAATGGATCGTAGAGTGCAGTCTAATTTTCAAGTAGAGTATATTGTGCTAAAATTATTATGTAGCAACTAAAGTATATCCAAATAACATGTATTAATTATCCGCATTTTGATCAAATATTTCATGGGACCCAAATTAGTCGACAACAGGGTAATGTCCAACATAATGAAAGTCTCCCATCTGTAGCTATGATCAATACTAAGGTATTGATAATATCCTAATGTCATATCACTATTAGCCTGAGATTAAAAAAAAAAATCACTATCAGCCATCCTTGTGGGCCACTCTTCTTGTAATGTCAAATCATTAGCCTTCAAGACAGCGATGCATTCATTAGTTGATTCAGGCAATGTACTGACATGTACCCACCAATAGCTAACCCATTAGGCCATTACAAATTATTGCTCCAATTCATACACTAATAGAATTGAATATTGTCAGCAAAAGACAGATGGACTCACAGGAATGTTTCTAAATGGTCAGTGCGGGATATAGAACAAAAGATATATCTGGCAACTATAAGTGTTGTTAGTTTTTATAAATGAGTATATCTTAGCAAAAGCAAAAGAGAACTTCAAGGACTTGCCTTCAGATGTGGAATTGGCATTTTCAAGAAGCCCTTCTATTAACTTCGATGGATTCTCCATGGGATCACATTGAGAACGCTTTGCAGATACTGTGATCACTCCACGTCCAACCTTTTGTTCAGGCATTTCACATTTTCCACTGAAAGGCTTCATATAACAGAACCTATCATAGCAAAGCATTTCCATTAGACAGCAGTTGGTACCACATTCTTTTAGAGAGAGAGGGCAGGGGGAGAGATGTAGAATACACATTTCAAACAAAGTGTACTCCCTAGTTGTTTATATTTTGGGACCATGATCCTTATCCTTTAAAAATATCTCAATAAGTGATACACCCAGACCCACATCCTGCTGGCAATTCCAATTTGAGGTCCGCAGATAGAGGAACTCATGCTAATGCTGGTGGCATTAATCAACAATCATTGAAGTATCAACTTTTTTCAATGCTGGAGAAGTAGTAAATATGTTAATAGATAAAAGATCAAATTTTGCAAATCATCTTGTATTTAACTGATAAAAAAGATATCTGTACGAGTGTATCTACATCAAACAACGATTTCAAATACCAGTTTTCTAAGTGTATAAAAAATATGAGAAATATTTCACAAGCAACATCTTGATAACACTACCAACTCCACTTAATGGAAGCAAATAATAAGTAACCAGCATATAAAAATTTGAGTAATTCAACAAAACACTGATTTTCTCTTTCAATTTTTAACTCAGATCTTTGAGATGAATATGAATACCATTCTTGGGGTAACATCTTGCTGTCGAAGCCAGGGGTCAACATCCGCCACTTCCTGCATTTGTCACATTGCACCCACTCATGATCAGGTTTGTGGAGAGCATTACCTTTTATCTGGATAAGTAACAGAACCCACGTCAACCAAAAAAATGTTTTCGTTTATGCCTGGGGGCCCTTAAAGAAAGATTAAATATCCATACAAATTCTTAGTTTAAGCAGCTCAAGAGAATAAAGCATCTAACTTGAAAAAAAAAGACATTTAAATGCAAAATGCAAGTGTAGTCTTGGAGGAAGAAATTGGATTCCCATATTTGTATGTTTGAGAAACTTACCAATGATGAATAAAACAAAATTTGGAATGTACTGCTGATTAACGGATATTATTGTTGTAAGTAATTAGATTGATGACATGAATCTTGCAATATTTTTGGCTCAGTAAAGAAACTATTTTTCCATCCTCCAATTTCTTAGCTAGAATTTTTGTCTTGGCAACTTATATCATGAAATGAGTGGAGGCAGAGGATTACCAACTGAATCTTATCAACATATTTGTCCAAGTATTCATCTGATCTATTACCCAGCCACTCCTCCAATAGAGCATATGCTTCACAGTCCTGGAATCCTTGTTTGTTGCTATGAACCCACACATGACCGTTGCCGTCATTCTGTGCCAGGAAAAAAATGAAACCCATGTTTAGCTAATTACAGATTAACCTTGTTTTCTAACATATACATGTCCATGAGTGGACAGACCTACAAGGCTCATATACTTGTTTAGGAGGTGTTATTAATCAATGTTGGACAAGCTCTAACAGTTCCCGCATGTGTGCCCTCCATTTGCAAATCGAGAAATAAACAGAAGAATCAGTTGACAAATTCAGAGACACTTGTGGCACTTACAAAGGGGGAATCAATTACCAAGTAAATAAAGAGGAATCTCACTTTACATCCCAAAAAATTAAGATTTCTCACATTGCATCCTCAAATATTAGATTTCCCACATTGCACCCTCAATGTATTAAAAGTGTTGTGATGAAGCCCTTCCATTAGCTTTCCCTCAATGTATTACAAGTGTTGCAATGTGACCCCTCCATTAACTTCCGTTGCTTATTCCGTCAAAAGCTGTCATATTGTTTGAGCGTGCAATGCAAAAAATCTAATATTTGATGGTGCAATGTGAAAAATCTAGTATTTGAGGGTGCATAGTGAGAATTTTTAAATCTTTCAAGATGCAAAGTGCAATTCGCCACTAAATAGATTGATCTTACCCACACCTTACACAAGCCTACAATGAGCAGTTTGAGAGGTTATTTTCATTGATATGGGGGACAACCTCAAACAACAAGAAAAACTTAATGTGCTCAAGTCCTGCTGGTTATGTAGGCATAAAGAATTCAAAAGACTCAATATTGTACAATTGTATACCATACCAGCACCTAATACATAAGTACATAACTCATTATGACTATGACATGCATCAGGAAAAAATAGACATTTACAGGGCCAAACTCCGAAATCTTGAAAATGGCAGTGTGTTACATTTCATATTCAAGTCACATTTTGTTCCATTCAAATGCACATGTCTATGGGCGTGTGCTTGTGTTGGAACACTAAGAAACATAAATGATAATTTAAAACAAACTGTAGCTCTAAAGATTTCCTTAGCTGAAGTAGTAATCCAGCTACGACCTAAAGAAATCTAACCATCCTTCAGGTTACTCTTTCTTCCTATAAAAAAGTTGACATTCACATTTACTTTCCAGAGGCAGCCCGACATAAACTAAGGCTAAAGGAATTTTTTTTAAATGAGGTTAAATTTTAATATAATAACACAAATAATATTATATAATTGCTTACATTTCAAGACATTAATTTAAAATTTACATTCTTGCATTTTGAAATGCGAAAGTACTAATTAAATTTATATATTCAAGTTTTGTTAATATGGTTTGTCCAAAGATAATATAGCTAATCCATATATAGTCTGATAGCTGATAGAATGATGAGATAAAACATATATTAG